AACCTCACCCCGTAGGTTTACCTAAACCATGCTCTGATACTACTAAAATGTCACGACCCCTTTTATAAAGAACCGAGAACATTGTTTCTACATTACATACTTATTTAAGATAAATAAATAATAGAGAATATAAGTATAAAATTCACTTCTCATTCAAAATAAAACAAAGTTTCTTACCACAAATATCTAATAGAACAACATAATATGACATTTAGTTCATTATATTCAAAATACCCAAAATTATACTACGTAGCTCCCTCTACATAAGGTCTCAAAATATAAGGAAAAAGGACTTTGGTGCAATATTACTCGACTCCAGCTTCTAACATTTCTTCACTGGCCCCTCAGCTTGTGAAGTAGATGCAACACCTGTTACATCTGCTCACGTACCACCGTACGATCATTGCAGTACACACGCACACAACGACATAGAAAGAAATGCAAGGGTGAGCTTACAAAAATAAAATAAAATCATATATAGAGCAAAATATTTCTCACAACAATAGCCCCATGTATTTCTAGCCCATCTAATGCACAGCATGAAAACGGTTTCCAACTAGTTTCACAGCCTAAGTAATCCAGAAGGAACCGAGCCGGTCCGGGAGCGACCCATTTCGGTATTTGGATCCAGATAGCACAGCACAGCAGCTCAGCATGAACTTACTGTTACACGTCTACCCACCTAAACATGTAACTCGGCTCTATAATGATGCAAATCATATATCTCAGCATGATACACACCACTAAAATTATTTCAACAGCTCAATTAAGGTAAATTTATAATAGATCAGCTAAAATCTCAGCATTTTAAATCAATTAACAGCATTTACAGCTTAGAAAATAGCTTTTATTCAAAAGATCTAACAAAATTCATATCAAAACTTCTTGTAATAATATATCAACCGTCCAGAACATAGATTATAGGCTAAAGTAAGCTCCCCTTACCTCAGAACAATGATTCACACTAGATCTACCGAATATTACTTGTTTTATAACAAGATTCACCGAAGATTCAGCTTTAGAATGGAGTTTCTCCTAAGAATACCATGAACTTCTATGAGAAAGAGAAGGAGAAGAAAAATGAACGGTAAATCTAGCTTCAAACTTAAAGAAACTTACTTCAAATCCCTCAGAATAGACTTAGAATATCAGATCTGGCGAGAAATCTAAGTTTAGGAGAGTTTAGTATGAGAGAAAATGGTAGTATACGGCCTTAGAACCTTTGAGAACCTTGGAGAGGAGTGAAGAAATGAAAATTTCATGTGAAACCCCTTTTTTATAGAAAATTTTCAAAATTTACTGTTCACCGCCAGAAACACTGTTCTTGCCGGAAACACTGTTCATGATACTATTTATGCCAAAAATACTGTGCACGCGCATTGTACACGTATGTGACGTCAGCAATCACTGTACATATGCGATTTTTACTGTTCATACGCGGTTTGCACTGTTCATAGGCGATTTTACTGTTCATTCGGCACTGTTCATACGGTACTGTTCACTTTTTTTTTTTTTTTTATAATAAATTTCAAACTCCATCTAATTATATTCCAATACCAAATAATCCTTTAATTTAACATTTAACAAGTATAAAATATTATAAATTACTCAATAATAAATCACAAGCCTGACAACTTCAAAGATCATGTTATTTTAAAAAAAATTCAATATTTTCTTAAAATAAATTTTGATGAAATATTTTTTAATTTATAAAAATATATTGTATTTATAAAATATATTTTTCTTAACATGTTTCACCCTCTCGTTGCAACCTGCAATTATGACAATAAGTCTAGTTTTACTTTTTAAAATTTAAATAATTTGCGTGTTTAGATGTAAATCTGTCATATATATTATAGGTTTTGTTTAAATTTCTTTTTCTATTTGTATATAAATAAATATTAGTTTTACCTTGTAGTTTTAATAAGAAAAATGTAATTCTATTAATATATTATTTTTTGTTTTGTTTTGAGCTGAATATGATCACTATAGGAAACAAAACTATCTAAGTGTTCATTACAGCTGCAATCTTTAAGACTCAAATTCAGTACTATATACTAAGCTGAAATAACTTCTATCAATTAATTTACGGCTCAATAGTTTTCGCAAAATATCAATTAAAGTGTCTTTAACCATCCATTAAGACTCAAATTGTAGATTATGAATTAAGCTAAAATAACTTCTATGATTTACTTACTCAATACTTCTCGTAATATATCAATTTTGATCAAAGTATCTTTAACCATTATTACATCTAACTAAAAACTCTAAAAGCACTTTCAATCTCCTTATTTTAATTGATGTGAATTATTGATTTCATTAATTAGTTTTATTGAATTTTAATCTAAAAAATTATTTAATTACTTTTAATTCATTTATGTATGATAAATTTAACTCTTCATTATTTAAAGAGAGTATTTTTATTAATTATTCTCATTATTACTATGCAAAATAATATCTATCATCGAGCATTTAATTTAATTTAATTTATAATATTTTATTCTTTTCAGAAACTACTATTACTTTTCGTTCTCTGTTGAAAATCAAAGGTAAAAATTGAAAATTGAAAGTAGAAATAGAGCAAAGATAATTCGGTGCCAAGATGACAAACAACTTTACCCGAAAATCTATCAAAAGAAGGCGAAGCAGTGGAGAGGGAGTTGCACTTTTTGTCCTAAGGTTTTCTGTTTGCTTGGAGCTATTGTGTTGTGTTGTCCATATAATATCTTATCACCCACTATATTCTCCTTTATTTTAGTTTTGATATTATCTTCTACTTCTACTGTTTTCTTTTGTCTTATGTTACTTTCGAGATTCAATGGATTGAAAAACCTCACTCGCTATGTTCATGGGTAAAACGATACGGAAGGTGAATTGGCATTTGGTATCGTCTTTGTTTAAAGTAGCTGTCTCAATTCTTTGATTATCATGGCACCTAACGAAGAACGGATCACGATCGCCTCCTTCTACATGAAGGTGCTGCCTTGAGTTAGTTAGTAGAAATGGATGCTTCATGCCACATTCCTCCTTCTTATCTTCTTTTACTAATCTCTTTACCATGATGATGCATTGAATATTTACAATAGATATTTTATTTTATTTTATAAATAATTTCTAAATTTAATTTATAATTTTGTAATTTTTATTATATTTATAAATTATGATAATTAGAAATAGTAGAAATAATTATACAAGAAAATAAAAAGTAAAAAAAATTAAAAATAAATGTTATAGACAACCAAATGGATTAAAAATTCATTTGTATTCATTTACCGATAAAAAAATTATAAACGACTCTAATCCATCTATAAATTTATTTTTTTAGATAGATTCAAAAATTTGTTTATATTCATTTATTGATAAAAAAAAATTATAGACTACTCCAACCCATTTATAAATTTGTCTGTAGACTTTTAAAAATCTTTCTATATTTTTAGTAGTGTTTGTTGGACATTCTAAGATATTTGTTTAATAAAAAAATATAAAATATTTTACATTTAAAACCAATTATCCTCATAAAATTCACTAAAATATTCATATGAAATAAATTTTTCAAAAAATGACTTGAAATATTTTGTCTGTTTAATTTTAATTAAATGGTGTCACAAAATATTAGAGTTTAATTTTTAAAACAAAGACACGTTAAACTAATTTATTTTATTTTAGTTTAAAGTCTATGCATGTACTTGACCGACTTCAATGTTTTAGTTTTCACAGTTACGAAATTTCAACCTTAGACAAATTTGAAGGCAAGTTGTCCTTCTATCCGGGATAAGTTTTACTTTCAGTTTCACATTATCAAATGAGGCAAAGGTATATACCACCTAGGACTAGGTACGCAATTTATTAAAACGAAAAATGTTTAGAATATGTTTTATTAACATACTTTTTTTTAATCATAAAATATAATAATATATTATTTTAAATTATTTATTAAAATTTATTAAATATTTTAAAAATACAAGAAAAAATCAATAACTTAAAACTAAGAATCGTAAACTAATAAGTAACAGTAACACTTGAGAATATAGTAAAAAAAAATAAATAGATCGCTGATATTTTTTATTAAAATGATTTAACCAAATCAATCAATCAAAATAAAATTAATTACATTGTAGCAAAATTCGTCTTTTATGAACATACAGATATCGACTCTCATTGTATGTGAAAAAGCACCGTAATATTGACTAATGAAATTGTAATTGCCTTTCACTTTTACTTATATCCACAAATAAGGGGGTACAAATTTTAAACAAGAAACAAGTTAATATTATTTATTTTGTATCAGTTAAAAGTCTATGCATGTAATTGACTAATTTCAAATGTCTAAAATTTTAATTTTCTTTTCTCACCAAACTGTCACTTCATTATGAATGATAAAAATATTCATACCTGCCAAAATTCAACAAGAAACTGATTAGTTCTTTTCATTTATTAAACAAGAGAAATTTTACTTTCGACACTCATGTTTGTTTTGGGTATATCAAAAATAGGGTATATTATTTTTACACTTTATTCAATAAATTAGTTTTTATTAATATTTGAAAAAAAGTCTATAAATGTATATTTTAGGTGTACTCAAGCGCTTCTAATTTTATATACAACATGAACTTCAGCTTTTTACAATTAACGAGTAAAGTTACTTTCTATAATAAAACAAATTATATCAACAGAATAAAACTAATTATTATTGAATATTAATATATTGGTCACTATTTTTTTATTTTTTAAGTTTTGACTGTTGTCATGTGGTGGTATCAGATAACAAGTCAGCAAGCATTTTCACTACATTCTAATTCTGATTGAAAGTGAAAAACATTTTCCACAGGGAAAACGTTAATGAGAAAACCGATTACTACAAACTTTGAAAATTGCGTACATTAGTAAAAGCACGAGAGATGGTGCACTTATGCCTATTTATATCATTGTTCATGGAGTCATTTTTGTGCCACCACTTGAGTTTATTCTTACCATTCCACGCTTGTTTTGCGATTTTAAGCATGGGAAAATACCCAAGCTTTGCTTTTGCTGTTATTCTGCTTTTGACTTCAGTTTTAGTGTCATGTTCCTATGTCTGTTCATCATTTGAATGCATTGAAGAAGAGAGGCAAGCTCTTCTCAAGCTCAAAGGAAGCTTTGAAGATCCATTGGAAAGGCTTTCCTCATGGCAAGGAAATGATTGTTGCCATTGGAAAGGTATAGGTTGCAACAACATTACAGGACATGTTGTTATTCTTGACCTTAGGAATCCATGCTTCCCACCAAAGGGTCAAGGAGATGCTCCAGAAAATTGTTCCTTTTCCAAAAGTAAGCTTGAAGCTCAACATGTTCACCCTTCTCTACAACAGTTCAAATATCTCACTTATTTGGACTTGAGTGGGAACAATTTCAGTGATAGCCCTATACCAATGTTCATCCATTCCATGGAGCATTTGAAATTCCTCTCTCTCTCTGATGCCCATTTTAGTGGGAGGATCCCCAACAATCTTGGAAATCTCACTAAGTTATCCTTTCTTGATCTCAGCTTCAATTCTTTTTTATACTCTGATGACATTTATTGGGTTTCAAAACTTTCATTTCTCCAAGAACTTTACATGAGTGATGTGTATCTTGAGAAGGCACAAAATTTATTCCAGGTACTTAACATGCTTCCTTCTTTGCTAAAATTGGACTTGATGAATTGCAGTATAAAGAAAGTGTCTAGTCATAATCAACTTGTGAGTTCCACAAACCTTTCTAGACTTCAAGTCCTTAATCTCAATGACAATGTACTTAAAGCCCCAGATCTGGATACTTTTAGAAACATGAGTTCCATTCAATATCTTGACCTTTCTTACAACAATCTAAGTTCAGTTCCATTTTGGTTGGGTAATTGTACCAAACTTGCATATTTGTATCTAGGAAGTAACACACTTCACGGCTCATTCCCAGATGCTCTTCGAAATTTGACATCCTTGACACTCTTGGACATCTCCCAAAACAATATTGATTTTGTTCCATCGTGGTTAGGTAGTCTAAAAGGTGTTCTGTACCTCAATCTTTCATTGAATCATATAAATCATGTTGAGGGTTCTCTAACATCAATTTTGGGGAATATGTGCCATCTTCTATCACTAGATTTGTCAAGCAACAACATTCAAGGGGATGTACTTGTTGGCCATTTACAATCTAGATGCATGAGATATGATTTAGAGGAACTTGATTTGAGTGACAACAAATTCAATGGTGTTTTGCCAACATGGTTAAGTAAGCTTGAAAATTTGGAAGTACTCGCACTTCAGTCCAATTTATTTTATGGTCCTATTCCACCTTATTTTGGAAAATTTTCAAACTTGATGTATCTAAATCTTGCTGACAATCGTTTAAATGGATCACTTCCAAACTTTCTTGGACAACTGAAAAATCTAAGTACATTGGATATTTCTAGAAATCAGTTGGGTGGGGATTTTCCTTGTAATATAACAGAACTTGTCACTCTACAGTATTTGCTTCTTTACAGTAACAATTTCAACGGACCTCTTCCCAGTTGTATAGGGCAACTTGTCAATATAATTACCCTGCGTCTCTCTTTTAATCATTTTTATGGTGTTATTCCTAGGAATATTGAGCTTCTAGCAAGCCTAGAAAACCTAGATATCTCAGAAAACTTTTTGAATGGTACAATTCCTGAAAACCTTGGTCAGCTTTCCAAATTGCACACCCTCTATCTTTCTAGCAATTATTTTCATGGGAAAATTCCTCATAGTCTTGGTCAACTTTTGAACTTGCGCAACTTAGACTTGTCTAGCAACCATTTGGAGGGCATGATTTCAGAGGTCATATTTCCCAAGCAACTTGTATACTTGAACCTTACCAATAATAATATCTCAGGCTCACTTCCACAAAATATTGGTGAAAGATTGCCCAATGTTACTCACATCCTTCTTGGAAGGAACCACATTAATGAATCCATTCCTGATTCACTGTGCAAAGTACACTCCTTATACCATCTTGACCTTTCAGCCAACAAGTTATTTGGAAAAATTCCTAATTGTTGGAGTTCTACTCATGGATTGAATGAGATAAATTTGTCCTCTAACAAATTATCTGGTGTTATTCCAAGTTCATTTGGCTATCTTTCCACTTTAGTATGGTTGCATTTGAACAGTAATAGTCTTCAAGGGGAGTTTCCATCATTTTTGAGAAATTTTAAACAATTGTTAATTTTAGATCTTGGAGAGAATCAAATGTCAGGGATTATACCCTCTTGGATTGGGGACACCTTTTACACAATGCAAATTCTTATTCTGAGGCAAAATAAGTTTCATGGAAACATTCCTTCACAACTCTGCCAACTTTCTAAACTACAAATATTGGACCTTTCCAGTAACATGTTGGTGGGATCAATCCCTGATTGCATTGGAAACTTCACGGGAATGATTTTAGGAAATAAATCATCAACTTCCCAAACTCTTGAAGAGCGAAAGTATATTGAATGGTATGATGAAGAAGCCAGCCAAATTATGAAAGGAAAAGAACTTCACTATAGTAGAATTTTAAAATTTGTTGTAAATATGGACTTGTCAAATAACAGTTTAAGGGGACCTATTCCTGAAGGAATAACTTTTCTTACTGCATTACTAGGCTTAAATTTGTCACACAATCCTCTTTTAGGGGAAATTCCTAGAGGGATTGGGAACATGAAGTCATTGGAATCTTTGGATGTCTCTCATGATCAACTTTCAGGCACAATTCCAAAGGGGATGTCTAGCTTGACTTTCTTAAGCCACTTAAACTTGTCCTACAACAACCTTTTAGGACCAATTCCACAAGAAAATCAATTTTTAACCCTTGATGATCCATATTATATTTATGTTGGCAACCCATTTCTTTGTGGTGATCCATTGCGAAAGTGTGCTCATATAGAAATTGAGAGAAATGATGATGAAGATGAAGATGGCAAACAAGACAGGTCCGAGAACATATGGTTTTACTTTGTGATAGCGCTTGGATTTGCTATTGGGTTTTGGACAACAGTTGGAGTTTTATTGTGGAAGAAGAGTTGGAGGCAAGCTTACTTTGGATACATTGATGAGGCAACTCATTGGATGCATGTGACAATTTCAATTATGTTAGCAAAAATGTGTGAAAAACTCGGTTGGTGAATGGCAAGTGATTGTCTTTATGCCTATTGTTTGCAAGTTATATGCCCTTGTATACATATTTTAAGTTTATTTTTCTTGCCAATGAGTTACTCAACTTCTAAGTAAAAGCAAGTTAATGAATTTCCACTATTTTAACTAAAGCTTTCATATTCATCAATAGTCCAATTTACACTTTGAAGGAAGATGATTAGAAGCATAAGGAAAGTTAATATTATTAAATAATATACTGAATTATGATGTTGAGCTACTTTGATTTGAGCATGGAGAAAATTTAAGAAAAAGGGTTTTAATATTTGTGACATACATACATTATGGAGGAAAAGACTTGAAAACAAGGGAATAGAATATTATTTGAATAATATTTAAATTGGTTAATTATTAAGAGCCTGTACAGAATACATTTATATAGATTACTATTCTTCTAATTAAGGACATAAAAGACTATACAAATCAAATCAGCAAAATCTATCCTAATTATGGAACAAATCTTCTCATTATATTTTACAACACTCTTCCTCAAGCTAGTGAATGTATATCTATCAGTCCTAGCTTGCAAGTAAGATCTTTAAACTCCTCGGTGGGAAGTCCCTTGGTGAACATGTCAGCCAACTGCAGTCTTGAAGGAATGTACTCAATGGTTATAAGGCTGTCCAATTTTTCCTTAATGAAATTTTGGTCTATCTCTATGTGCTTTGTCTTATCATGTTGAACTGGATTGTGCGCAATGCTGATGGCTGATTTACTATTACAAACTAGTCTCATGGGAGCTTCATACTTTATTTTGACGTTAGCAAGTATTGACTTCATCCATAACAATTCACAGACCCCTTGTGCCATAGCTCTAAATTTTGCCTATGCACTTGATTTTGCAACCATATTTTGCTTCTTACTTCTCTATGTCACCAAATTTCCACCCAAGAACATGCAATATCCTGTGGTGGACCTCCTATCAACAATTGATCCTGCATAGTTAGCATTAGTATACATTTCCATGGATAAGTTTCCCTCCTTTTTAAATAGCAATCCTTTCCCTAGAGAGGCCTTCAAGTACTGAATAATTCTATTTACTGTTGTCTTGCCTTGAGACATATTAGGAGAATGATAAAATACAAAAACAAAAGTATGGTGAATAGTAACTACGTTTGAACAGTAACCTCTTAAAGTAGAATCTCCTAATAGTACTTAAAAGGCCGTATTAAGATGAAACGACCCCTGAAACAAAATCAGGGATGGTCGGTGACTAAGTCTATGGTGGGTTGTTAAAAAATGGTGGCTGGGAAGGCGGCAGGTGTAACACCTTAAATTCTACTTCAAATAATAAATTTCACGAAATGGGAATAATAAATTTTTCATTTAAATATATTTCCCAATACAGGGTTCCATCAAGTATTTCAAAATAATAAGGGATTACAAGTTTATATCAATAACTACCACAGGACCTACTCAATTACATTGAAATTTCAAAATAAAATCTAGGTCTTATAGCACTTTCATCCATCCCTTCACTAAGCTCGGTGTTGATCGTCTTGGTTACCTGAAAAATAAATGTAAGGATGAGTGCTTTACACTATCTAACACACACAAACATAGAGACTCACCTTACGCACTCTACATGTATTTATCACATATTTTACTTAATTACAGTCAATCACAAGCAACACATTCAAGCATTTCATTTCAATCACAATTGGTGAGCTCATGGCACTAATAACATTCACACACACACATACACATGAGCTCACTGCACATGCCACGCTCACTGTGGCACTATGATCACAGTTTCACACCATGGATAGTCGCCAGTTACCCCCATCTCACGGATACCACATGACGGTCACGAGTAACTCAACAAAGGTATTGGTCAAAGGTCTAGTCATGAGGAGAGTGTGTGGCATGTGGTGCACCCATGCTCATTGTTGGTGTCACCACCATTCTCTCTTCTCCAAAGTATTTCTACCGTCCCCATCTTCCACACCTTTAGTGTATCGCTGAACCATTCATAGCATATTCACAACCGCATTGAACATGCCCTTTCACACACATTTCAGCCACAAATAGTATTAATTCGTAGCACACGAGACACAGGCCCACATTTATTCACGGTACACAACACAGATGCCCACATTTATTCGTGTTACATTTAACACACAGTAATTCCATACACACGACATTTTCAACATAATCCACATTCATCAATCAACCCCATCATACACCTTATTCAACATTCATTACACTATACTATATTCAATCTTTCCACCACAATCAATCAGTTCTACCAAACACACACATTCCAAACCATCCACATGACATTGCATAGCAACTTACATGGCATTCAAACATAATGAGATAGGGTAGAGTCCTTCCTTACCTCGAAATGAAGACCCACAACATAAATCAACAATAAACGTGCTCCCCCAAACGGATTTCATCCTAAATATAGGGAAAATCTCATGAGAAACCAAGAAATCAAAGAAAAAGGAATGAAACACAACAACCCTAACTCACAAACATACCTCCAAATGCCCAAAACCCATTTTCAACCTTCAATCTTACTCCCAAATGGCTTTAGAGGCAGTTTAATTAGTAAGAATGACTTTGGAATCGAGAGAAATGACAGAGGATTCGAAGGAAGAAGTGGAAAAATGATTTTTCCAAACCCTAAGCCCCTTAAATATCCTTCTATAGTGAAAATCTCAGAGGAAACTGCACTCTGATTTTTGCAAAATCTCGTTGCAGCGAAAACGTGATAGTTTCACCCCCTCTCTCCCAGTGCCTTCTCGCTATAGTGAGAAGGGCACAATTTTGTGCCTTTCGCCCTGGGCGTTCTCGCTACAGCAAGAACACCCCGCACCATACACTTAGCCTATTTCAAACAGTCCAGAAAATCAATCTCGATGCACAATCAGCATCCACATCACATTATACAAAAATACACATATTTACATATATATTCTCATCACGCACTCAGGTGCACATTCCAACATCCATTCATATATATATATATATATATATATATATTGATACCAGATAACCCGTAGTGGATCAAGGGAAAATAAAAGCAACTGAAAGGAAAGCAGGCAATAGCAGAACTACTAAATGATATGCAGAAATGTAAAATGCAGTAAATAGAGAAAAATTTAAAACATAGAAAACTAGAATGGCGGTAGAACCGGCACAGATCTAGTGGAGGGAGAAGAGAAGAAAGTTGGACAACGGTAATCCGAACAGAACCAGCTAAGTGGGAGAAGAGAGAAAATAAGATTGAAACAGAAAAATTTTATTGAAAGAACTCAAGAGAAAGGCTTACAAGGATATAATCACTCAGAGCTTCTCTCTCTAGAACTTCTCTCTATGTGACTAAATGAAAGGGTGCCTCACAACATGGTCGAAGACTCCTTTTAAAGAAAAATTAAGATACTGTTTGTATAGTTCCGGTATGTAACTGGAACTGTTTCTACAGAATAAGTCATAATTCTTGTATGTCTATTCTGAAACAATCGTCTTCATTTTGATAGTAGTCGTCATCTTTGTTAGAGTCTTGTTTTGTTGAAGATTCGACTTTATCTTGATTCAAAAGAAGAAGTACTTCTTTTAAATTTTTCTTCATTTTGTCTTTGGAATCGCATCCTGATAGGAAGGTTACGATCTTGGCTTTCTGATTCAGAAATTGGAAAGTTGCTGAATCAGCAAGCTTCAAGAGTTTTGGATTGTTTCCAAAAAACTCATTAACTCCTTGCAGTTCTGCATGTTCTACATTAAATTGGCTCCACCATTTCACAAATGCATGTCTATGAATCATGGGAAGAATGTCATAATCTTCAGTCTTGCTATATCTATACTGCCATTAGAATACCCAGGCCATAGCAAAGGCAGAGAAATATTTGAGATCTGCACTGATCCTGTTGGAAGTATATCTGTTTTTGAATGTTTCAAATCCTTCTTTTACAGGAGAAGAAAGGATTGCTTCTAGAGGTGCAAAGAAGTCCCACCATTGAAGAAACCAGTTTGGGAAATTGTAATTCTGATTTTTCTTGAAGTAGATCAACCAAGAGTGTCGGTTGAGTTTATTTTGGAACCAGAAAATCCTAGTCCAGGCATCAATATAATCCCAGTAATTGTATCCTACTGGATCAAAAGGTTGAGAGAATTTTTTAAATGAATTTGGATCTTTTCCAAAATTCTTTGGCGACAGAATTTTTAATATTTGTATTGTGGAATGGGTGATTATTGAAGGATCTTTTTGGTCCTTATAATGTTTAATAGAGACAAAATTTGAATCTATTAGAATGAATTCATAAAATTGTCTGGTTTTATTTAAGGCATATGGTCTGAAATGAAAACCAGGAGGGAAAGCTTTGGTAATGGCTTTGTATGGGTTTTTGTCCAAAAATTCGGGTTCCATTTGGATGACAGAAGAGAATTTCCCTTTTGCTATGTAATGGTTTGTATTGGGGGTTTTCTGTTTATCCTTCTGAAGGCTAATAGCTTCTTCTTTATTAGGAAGGCTTATTGTTTTTTGTGATTAGCTGAAAGACTGGATAATAGTATTTAGGTTTGATAAATCAATTTCCATGTCTTCATCAGAGGCAATGTCTGCCCAAGATTTTTTTGGTAGGCTGTTTAGGCTACCCTGCTGTGTGGCTAAAAGTGTATTAACAAGGAAAGCATAGTCTGCTTTGGTTTGTTTAACACCTTTTGTTTGGGATTGGGAAGAATCAACCTTGTTGGATGAGTCTTTTTTAGGAATCGCAGATTGCTGAGTGGATGACTCTACAATCTGGATAGCTTTCTGGGTGGATGACCCAGTCAGAGTGGATGACTCCGAAGAATTGGAGCAAGAGTATGTCGTGACAGACTTTGATTTTGTTTTGTTAAGAGTCAGGGAGACTCTAACTCTTCCACCTCTTAATGATCCTCCCCTGGAGGGGGCTATTGCCTTTCTAGGCATTCTACTTGTCCTGTAAATATTCACGGGTGAGATAATCAGGTAGAGAAGTGGA